CGGAAAACAGATTTAGGATACATTTTTGACAGAGATTCTTAAAGTATACCTCTCTTGGCGGATCGCCACTGCGACTCCGCATCCTTCCCTTGATAGTGGCTTCTCCTCTTCTCTCAAACCGATAATAGTGCTGAATAGCCAAGAACCTTGTGTCCTGGGTTGTAAAGTTTCATCTGGGATGTAAAAAAGAGGTAAACTATGATGCAGAGAATATTAGAAGAAGATATTCAGGAGAGAATATGATGCATAATATTTGGAAAGGAATTGTAGGTAAAACTATTCTTGTGTAAATAAGAAGGAGAGCACGTTTTTTAATTGACTTACGCGTATCATGCCTCAGGCTGCCCTCCCTACGACCCGTTACAAGCCCGTGTCATACACTGTTGCATTTAAATTTGAGGTGAAGTAAAATAAGACGCAAGATGTCTTTCGCACTGGTAGTCTACACGCAGAGCTGTACCTGTTTTGCCGACAACCGCGATCCCGACAGGAGTAGGATGCGGGGACGTCGCCAGGGTCCGCTGGGAGGGTTGCTTTTATAAAGCAAAGGTAATTTTATAAGCTAAGATAAGATTGTGTGACATGGTGCTTGTAATAGAAATGCTATACAAATCAAGGTAAGATGCAACTCTAATCTTTAGATTCTCTTTATCGGCGCAAAGGAGCTCTGTGAACTAAAATCTGCATCGGTAACCAGCGAGGGCGATTTGAAAAGGAGTTTGATAATACTTTGGGATTTTCTGATGACGACAACGACGAAATGGGCGGACCACAAGCATCGTCCTCGGAAGGAAATTGTAACCAGATTAATAAGGATAGAGGAACTAGGCGGTGTCAGAGCCGAGAATGAGGATAGAAGAGATGCTGAAACTGCGTCACAAATTCATAGGATTGCCCACTTGGAACAAATATTAGAAGAAGTATTACGTCGGCTGCCAGTGGTACAAGCACAAGGCTAGTTAATTCCTTTACGTTACTTGAATAAAGTTTAGTTCATCTTCAACGGGAGATTAAATACATTTACGAAACAGCGAACGGTAGCTGAGATTCGACAGCTCAAAGGCCTGACTATGTGCCATTTTGCATTGGCGCTAGATTCAGAGGTGTACAAGGACGAGACTTTAGAGCTTGAAATGCTTGTGGATAAGAGATGTTTTACAACATTAAAAATGATTGAACTGAAGAAGCAGAAGATTGAATGAGATTTTTTAGTGTTCATTCAAATTTTATGAGATTTCGACCCACCTTCGAGAAGGGACATGGAAGAAGACGAAGGAGTTGTTGAACAGTAGAATCAGAAGGCTAAGAAAAGCAATACGAGACAAGCAAACCGCTCGTGTTTGCGCAGAGGCCCGCTATGTCTCCTCATCGTGGCAGGAGTGTGAAGATGCCTCCGGCGGTGCTGCGGATGCATATTACTTCGAGGACGAATAGATACAGTTGACCACATAATATTCTTCATCGCCATATTATTCTCAGAAGTTCAAATTGGTCTGATTTATTTTAATATTTCTTATGACAAATGTGTTGCGATTGCTGCGAGTCACTCTGTGGCAATATTTCCACAATTTTCTGCAATAATC